GATAATAACCAAATGGAACGAGCAAGCCAACGACGAGACCTGAGCAACATAACTACGAGACAGAAACATTCCAACGGTGAGATATAAACATACCAACGAGGAAGCGCTCGAGTATTATACGAAATACTCGAACGCTCTAACGAAAACAAATCGAACGGAAGTCGTAAAATTTGTGAAAGGAAAGATTTAGCCAACGATGAGACATAAGTAAACCAACGACGAAGCATTCGAATATTATACGAAATACTCGAATGCTGAAACAAAGACACATAGAATGAAAGAGATAAAATCTGCAAGAAGAAAAATAATTAAAACCTGAAAGAAAAAATAATTAGTACCTGAAACAAGGAATTATTACTAAATTATTCAAGAGAGTGGACAATGGTCATTGAATAGCCATTGATCTAGCCAACGATGATATACAAATAAACCAACGACGAAGCATTCGAATATTGTACAAAATAATCGAATGTACAAACAATTAAACCTAAAATAAAAGAAATAGAATCTGAAAGAAGAAATAATTAAAACCTGAAACAGAAAGAAAGAATATTAACGCGGTCCTTCCGAAGTCGAAGCGACAACTGGCTCGAGCCTGCACGCGGGCCCCTTATATAGCGGCGGCCGGCCGAGTTCCCCCACTCCAATCGAAAATTTTCGAACTTCACCGATCTCATTAATTATTATTTTTCCGCTTTAATAGCCAATAATTTAATAATTTTTTCACTGTTATGAAAAATTTACGTTGTAAACAATTTGTTAGTAACAATATTAATTTGTTATTAACGATTAGTGTGATTATTTATAAACTTTTTGCAAATTTTGGATACATTTTGACATAAATACGTAATAAATTCAAGTAATAACCAATAATTTATTAATTTTTTTTACGTTTATTATAAATCTACGTTGTAAACAATTTGTTATTAACAATAGGTGTAATAATTTATAAACTTTTGTAAATAATATGTACATTTTAACATAAATACGTTATAAATTCAAGTAATAACCAGTAATTTCTTAATTTTTTCGCTTTTATTATAAATTTACGTTGCAAACAATTTGTTATTAACAATATTAATTTATTATTAAAAATCTGTGTAATAATTTATAACCTTTTTGCGACTTATAGATACATTTTATTACAAGTATGTTATAAGTTCAAATAATAACCCGTAATTTATTATTTATTTTTTACGTTTATTATAAATTTACTTTCCGACCGATTTGTTATTAACGATATTCGTTTGTTATTAATAATAAACTCTGTTGCGTGATGGCAAAATCCCACTTACAGTTCTTAATACATATTTTACTCTCCTGCCAACATTGAGCATCATTCTGATGTTATTTCTGGACGATTTCTTCTGCAGAAAAGCCTACAAAATACGCTATCGTTTAGCAAATTCCTTTCGGATAAAGAATCGTTTGTAACAAGGCAAGAATACGAGTAGAAAGTATGCTCGAAGGACTATTTTTAAACTTTGACGACCAATTATAATTACCCCGCAGCAGAAATAATTATAATTATGCACATTGATATGCTCGGAATACTCTCACCTATGTTGCAAGACACCGACGAACCCCATAACGTTCTTACTTTTCACGCAATACTTCATTTTAGCCAAAAATCGTACGTTTTCACAAGACTCTCATTGCTCGGGAACTAGGGCTGATAAAGCAAATTCGGCAACGAATTCGTGCCCAGGAAAGTATACCTCGCAAGAACCATCCAACGGATATCACAGATTAGAGAAAAAGTTAAAATAAATTGCACAGCGTTATTAAAATCACAAGTACAGTATTTTAAAACCACCTAAATCGCTGTCCGACTGAGGGGGGTAGCCGAGTGTGCGCGTCGGGACCAGATAGAAACACAGAAAAGGCAGTTAATTAGCTGGAGTTAAAAGCTCGACTTAAATGACCTATTCACCGTTCAGCCAACGAATTCGCTGCGAGCTCAGCTTTCCGAAGAAGCGAGCCGAGGAGCGAGAAAGAAGCTGATCGCGACGCGGTTCCGTGTCGCGCTACTTGCATACGCAACACGGGACGCCATTATTCCTGCACCCTTTGTTTCTCGCTCCTCTCTGCTGCCTCTGTTCTCCTCGTGCCCCATCCTTTCCACTTTCCAGCGGCTAGTATATCAACGGAATATTCGTGGATCAACGGATCAATGATCAACAACTCGTTTCGCCGACGCGATCATGTGCGCCATTATCTGCGCCAGTATCTGCGCGATTAACGATTCACGCGATCCGTTAGAGTATGATCGATAAAGTCGATAGCGACTGGGACAAGGGAATCGAGTAGCAAACAGATGTCGAAGGCGATTAAAAAACATTGGGAATATTTATGGAGAAATACGAAGGGCGGAGAGCAAAGGGCGCGCAAGACGAGGGTTGGATTTCGGTACCCCGCTGGAACGGGATTGATTAGAAACGCCGGAAGTTTCCATCTGTTTCCTCGGAGGCTGTTACCCAGCGGGCAACGGCTGTTCGAAATTCATCAGGAGCAATTCCTGCAGAGTCGTGCGATACTCCCGAAGGACGAGTCCCGGGATTTACCGCGTCTACTATAGCCAGCTAATCGCGATAATTGCTAAAATGCGATAAATTTATGTCCTACGCGACAAAGGACATAGTCGACACGCGTAGAGTATCTCGTGCATAGATGGAAGATATTCGTAGGATGGGAAAAAAGAGGAAACGCAAACACGAGCTTGCGCGTGTCCAACGCGGTCACGGGGGTTGGGCAAGCCCTTCGACGAATGCGTGCGCGTGTGCTTGAAGGGTCGACACTCCACAAAGCGCTTTATGGTCCGTTATACGACCGCAAGCTCGCGATACCATGTTTAGCACGGGTACGCGATCACGAACACGACTAGCCTATTCCAGGTGCATTCAACGGGCCCAGTGTTTCTCATGCAATATGCGCTTTACGACTCGCCGCGTGGTCCCCCTCTATGATTCGTCGAACGACGGAGTTTATGCGTTTCTTTGAAGTGCCGTAATATACCAGCAAGCGCACGCGATATCCTTGACAATTGCTCGAGTAATCCCGTCGGGGTATAAATTGCCTGGATTTACTCGGACTCCGAATAGGTGGAACAAGGTGTACTCGTCGTCGATTGCGCGTTGTCGGTCGTTAAAGGGAAAAGATGGCGGCGCAGAGGGGTCGGAGGAATGCGTGCAAAAGTGGGAAACACGATTGAGAACCGAAGCACCGCGCCGGATGTCATCGGTTCCACGTGCATGTGGGTACGCGAGGCTCGCCCAAGGACGAAACTAGCGCCACGAACGTGCGACTATGCCAGCGCGGAACGAGATCACGAAGCGTGTTGGCGGTCGGCGTGCGTTGGGAGCACCGCTAAGTGCGGTCGCGCTATGCCTGACAGTCGACGGCATTAGGCAAATTGAAATCTTGCCGGCAGAGGAAGCAGAGGATACCTCCTAGTTTACGCTCGTCTCTCTGTCCAGACTCGGCTCGGCGTGAATCTGCCGCGATGGTTTCAGCTCTCGGACCGTGGAGCGTGAAACACGGCGCACATCAAACCACCAACGTCCGCGAGGAACGTCTGCTCTGTTGCGGCTCGACCTCTGCTCCAGCACGGGTTCTCCGGAACCGGAAGTCCAGCCTCTCTCTCGCTCTTTCTTCGGGTTCCTCGTTTAAACCACCTTTGCCTCCTGTTTTACGACGTAACTGGCTCTTTGCCCGAGCTCGGGATAATCTTTTAGGGCTCGACCACCTCTCGAACTAATTTCGTTTCCTCCCCTCCCGTCTTTGCGTTTCATTATACGACTCGGCTCGGTAACTATCGTCCCCTTGAATTAGGGCCAAAATCGTGGCCATTTTTTCCGCTAGGATTTCCCGCTAGCAAGCATCCGTGGTACTCGTCCCGTCGTCTACGATTTCGTTTATCCCCTCGTGTTCGATCGTCGTACGCACGAGAGAGGGAGAGAGAGAGAGAGAAGAATAAATCGTGGCGCGAAGCCACGTTCCGCGATTAATTCGCTCGTTATACCTACGCCATCCCCGATCTATTCTCGCGTATTACACGCGGATATCCGTTTTTGGTTCGACCGAGCCATTCACCTCGACGACCTACTATTGGAAGTACGCCACAAGTTGTTAACCTTAGTCGGTGGTTTAATTACACAGGCAAATATTATCGAACTGACAGAGTTAATTAGATAATTAAAACTTGAAGGGTAAACTACTTTGCCGAGCAGGGTGCCGACGAAAGCGTACACGTAGCAGAGTCCGTCCGTGAGACGGGCCTGCTCGTGTACGGGTACGACCCGAAAGATGGAAGGCGAGATTGACGGCGTACCGCAAATCGAGCTTCTTCCACGTCCCGCCATCCGCCGGGCAACTTTCCGCGGGGACGTAGATGAAACCAGGATCTACCTGTTTCGTGCCGTAATAGAGGTATCTTTAACGAGAAATCCCTCCGTCTTGTCTTTTTGCCGACGCCGGTAAATTTCACCCTCCCTCCCCACGTTCGATCCCGAAGAATTATTGCGCCGTCGAAGAAAGGCTTCTTTGTCATTCCTCGAGGTCGTTTTATTATCCCCCCGTCACTCCCTCGAATGTAAACTTCGCGTCGGTCAATCGTCCTCTCGACGGCCTTCGAACGTCCTTCGAACGTCCTTTGCGTGACCTTGGCCTTCTATACCGCGTCGACGTGGAATGACCCCGATCTTCGATGACTGGACGTACTCCCTCGAATGTAAACTTCGCGTCGGTCAATCGTCCTCTCGACGGCCTTCGAACGTCCTTCGCGTGACCTTGGCCTTCTATACCGCGTCGACGTGGAATGACCCCGATCTTCGATGACTGGACAACCATGGCCCAGACGCGCAATACCACCCTGTCTTTATCGATCGATCGACGCTCGTTCGCTGTTTTCTTTATCACGGTCTTCCAGCCTATAACGCGCGTATATGTACACACTCTGGAGTTGCACAGCGGTAACAATGGTTATCGGCTTTCTGTTACAGACACAAGCGGAAAGTGCAGAACCTGTTACCGTGCAAGAGCGCAGCAGGAGCGGCGGCAGCCGCAGCCGCAGCCGCGGCCGGTGGTCGAAGTCGAGTGCTGGCTGACGGACAGTCGCACGGTGGAACCGGGAGTGCGGGTGGCGCGGTGCTGTACGAGGACCTGCCGGAAGCAGTGACGCACTCGCAGCTGCATCACAGGCAGAACCACCTGCCCAGCCACCATCCTGGTCAGGCGCCCACGATCGAGGTACGAAATCCCGATCAGCGACACGGCCTAAGGGAACGACAGCCGCAGCAGTTTCAGCGTGCGCGCGCCCCCGCGCCTCATCATCTCGACTATCTCGACTACCGGGACCCGAGGGCGATTCTCCGCGTCCAGGACAAGCCCTCGAGGGCGGTCTTAGGCGGCTATCGAACGCCGCGAGCCCTGCTCGCCAAATCTAAGGGAATCCCGCTTTCGATAGCCACTCACACGCCTTCCCCGCGATGCACCGCCGCGACCAGTCCGCTATTGCAGAACGGCGGTAACGTTCTTTGGAACAGTCACTTGCTACTGGCCAATCAGAACGCCCTGATCACCAGCCAACAGCCTTTGCCTCCTGCTCCTCCGACACCCAGCGTCCCCTGTATCTCCTCCACCTGTCCCGACATCGAGCTCAACCTCACCAACGAGAGTTATCTGAACGACAGCTGCGTATCCGGTCGACCGATAGATTCTCGTCTTCCCATCACGCCGACCCACCGATCCAGAATCCAGCCAGCCTCCGATCGTACTCACGCTTCCGTCAGTTCCTCCGGTCAGACGCAACCCGTTCAAAGAGTCGTATCCCGGGAGGAGGCCTCGAACGGCAGGAGACCGTCCGTCGATTCCGAGGGGTACTCGTACATCGATTTCAAAGACACGGAACTGGAGTCCACGAGGCACGAGTCGTGCCCTCAGTCGGAGACGCTCGCCGGAAGCAAGGCGTCCGCGTTGTTTCGTTCCTCCTCGGCCAAGTCGAACTCGGTAGACTCGGACGGTTACTCGTACATCGTGGACTCCGGGTCTAGGAAAGCGCCGGGCACTGCCAGAAGGATCGTGGCCGAGGGCACGGAGGAGGAGGTGTGTCCTCTTTGCACGATGCAACAGATACACAACCTCCTCAGCAAGCCCGAGGACATCTATCTGAACGTGCAGACCACGTGACACATGTCGTTCGCGAGCGACATCTTCTTATAGAGACTGCCCTGTCTCGGATGTCTGTCCCCGGCTCGTTGCAAGCGTTCCGCGGCGCCACGCGCGTTCGCGGGGACAGGAGATGATTTACATATCCCGTGATATCGTTGGCCACGATCGTTCCACGGTTGTTCTCGTAACTCGGACAACGTGGCCCCCCGCGTTTCGGTATAAACTCGTAGCTACGTTCCGTCGTAAGGTCGTAGGTAGTCTAGTGTCTTTCCGGGTTCAGCGAGCACACGCAGGTGACACCAGGGGTGTGTGTGTCGCTTGCCGCCGCGAAGAGCAGCCGCCTCGACACGTTCTTTCTTTCCATTTCGTTCGCGTTTCCGCACCGCGCCAGTACACCGTCGCCCCTATTTTTTTCCGTTATTGCATTCCACGAGCGAGAGAACCGCCGGCCATTCGATTTCGCGTGGATTTCCTCGCTTTCCGCTCGCGTTGGTCGACCAAGCTCTCGTTCCTCCTGCTCGCTGTCATCGGTGACGAGGCGAAGACACTAGCGCGGACTAGTCAGTATTTATTTTGTTACGCGGCCGTGCTTGCACAATCTCCTTTACGAGATGCGACGCGAGGAGGGAACGCTGTCGGGCGGGTTGGCGAGAGTGCAAGGTGACGGAGGTGAGCGCGAGAGGGAGGAAAGGGGCGAGGGGTTAGGTTATGGGGTAAAAACGGAAGGCGAGTGGCCTTACTATTATCACCGTCGGTTGTGTGAGCACGGCGCCTAGGTGCACTCCATGGTTGTAAATAGATTAGATCGTGCAACTGGCAAATTGTAAATAATATACGCGGAGTGAGACAGAGACATACGGAGAGAGAGAAAGAGAATCGTATATTAATATAAAGTATCGAAAACGGAGAGTCCGTGAGTAGCTGTGCACCCGAGTGAACGGAACAGTTATCCGACTTGTGTTTCTCGTTTGTATAGACGTTCCACGACGGGCGATCATCGCGATTAATTATTATCGTCGCGCAGATTAATTATTATTATTTATTGTCGTTACGTATCCCATTGCCGTAGCCGGTGTACGGTACATGTGTCTTGTAAATAAATCCCGGGCGGGTTCGAGAGAGTAGGATTAAAGGGAGAGAAATAAAAGAATACGGCAGCGAGAAAGTACGCGCGAGAGAGAGGGAGAGAGAGAGAAAGATCCAAGAGACGGAGAAAGTCCTGTGTATATTGAAGTACCGAGGAAAGGTGGAGTTGGAGGAGGGCGAGGAGGAGGAGAGTTTGAGAAAAATAAAATTACTTTACTGAAAAATTCGACGAGGAGTGGTTATTCACCCGGTCCACAATCCCATCCTATCCCTCTCGCATCCTTCTGCGACTCGCGGAATCTTGATCGCGGAAGCGCGAAACGCGGCACGGTCCGAGGAAAGAGAAAGAAAGAACCGGAAAGACGCGGAACGCGCAAGATCTACGATAGACTCCTCTCGCGCGAACGTTTGCAAACGCGTATAGCCGGCCGCGACAATGCACGAACGCCCGCGATGTCTAATGAAAGAGATATTTTCGCGCTGGTACCTATCGTCTCCCGACACAATACACGTGGACACGGAATAACCACTTCTGTGTTCAAACTTTTTCCAAGGGGAATGAAAAATGTGCGCCCGGTTGGCCGTTTTTTTGGGAGCAGGCCCGGTGTAAGGGTGAAAGGCTTTCCCGCGCAGATAAAGACGCGCGTAAACGAGAAAAGAGTATGGGAGAGGAAAAAGGATCGGAGGGACAATGAAAAAGAGTGAGACGTCACGGATAGAAAATGGGAAGCGGAAAGCAGAATGGAAAAAGGAGGCTAAAGGAAAGCCGAGGAGAAATCAAGGGAAAGATTGACGAGTCACCATTGTGCCGCGTCACCGTCGCCTCTCCGAGCGATCGCGCAATCCCGAAGCTCTCTAATTTCGCAAATGGAGCCCCGGCCACGATCTCTCCCTCGAACGTAATTTAATTACTCCGATCCGTCCTTTTTTTTCCCCCCCCTGTGGCACCCGAATTTCACCGGTAAACGGACCTCGCGAGCTGTCTTGCGAGTTCCACGGGGTCTCTCTTCGCTTCCCATACGGATTTCTACGTCTATACCCTCGATCGGTATCGCAGATCTATTTCGAACGCTTCCTCCGCTTTAAACGCGACGGACGACGAGCGTCGGAATAACGAAACCGGAAGTCGGGCGATTTAATATCCACCTGTTGTCGGTGTTCGATTGCCAGGCTAGATCGATGTCGCGACACGTCGTTAGGCAACGAGGCCACGGCTGTTTCGAGCTGTCGACCATGATACCGTTCGCGAAACCGGACGTTCCGAGTAACTCTTTCACGGTAGTAACCAGCTCTCGAGATCTAAATCGGCCACGACCCATCGCGAACCATGTTCTTTCGCCGGTCCCTGCCAAATAAGCCAATAAATATCCAATCTTGAGGCTGTTGGCTCCGGATTCGCTGTCCCACCTGTTGTTGGCTCAATTACGCCGGTCTAATCCATATCCTGGCACGTCGTTAGGCCACGGAACCGCGCTGGCATCGTAGCAATGGCGATATAACGATGGCCGGAGGGGAAAGGAAGGATCGGACTTAGGAAGCTAATGCAATTGTCACCGTAACTAACAATTAGCAGGTTACGGTAACGTGCCGTGACCACGGCATCCTCGGCTATCGCGTATGTCCCGTGGTTACCTGGTCGAAAGGAAGGGTGGTCGATCTTCGTTCCGTGGGGCACGCCTGCGCGATCGTAGGATCCAGGTGAACGAGGGGCCAGGATCGTTCGATGGGTACGTCGTGTAACAGTGGGATATTCGAGGAACTTGTCCGTGAAAGCGTGCAGGATCGATGATGCCGGGATTGTTCCATGTAATGGTTAGACCGATCGAAATTAATGGGCGCGTGTCCTGTAAATTATTGGATTCGTTACGTTTATCGTAACGACACGCGGGGTGTCGGGAAACGGAAGTGGCCCGGTTCAGGGAATTAGCAGGCTGGCCGATAGCGTCGTATTCTTCGAGCATATCCGGTAATTGGAAGAGACGCGGTAAATTAGTCGATTAGGACAACGCGTTATCAGGATACAATGTGACGGCTAGGTGGATCAGACGCACGGCGAACAGACACACGGAGAACGTGGGGCAGGTTAGGCGCGTTAGGGACAACCCATTAACCTCCGTGCTCCACGCTATTACGGCACGGACATATTGCTTCCTGCTGTTGGATACGATGGCTTAAGCCTCTATCTCAATCTCGCTCAACGTTCGTCCTTCTCTTCCCTTCTTTCTCGCTTCTCTAGCTCCACCTAAGCTTTCCGTTTTCGCTCTTTATCTATCGTGTCTCATCGCTTCGTACCCCTTTCGTTTTATCTCTTCTTCTTTTCTCCCCACCCCTCGTCTCTCTCTCTGTCTTTCTCTCTCTCTCTCTCTCTCTCTGTATAATAAGCGTAGAAGGAATTCCTCGTATTACGAGAATCGCGTGGAAAGGAAATTTATAGCCATTATTCCGTGCGAGTGTTTACCCCGTTTGCCTGGATATCGAGACCGATGGTTGAAACGTCGAAATCGTTTCCACTTTCGAAATAATAACAGACTATCCTTAGACGGGAAATTGAAAGCTGTCGGCGAGAATCGATTATCCTTTCGCTTTCGACGATTCCGCGTTTCGTTCCTCCTCGGGGATCCTTTTAAGTAACGGCTGGCAAATCCGAAACGGCGGAGTTGCGTGAAATTCACGAGATGCCGTGATTCGAGAGGGAAACGCTGGATTCGCGATGCTCCGCTATTAGAAGGAACCCTCGAGGTACATTGCCGGGGCCATGACTCGCTAAGGGCGACAATTACCTTCGTCCGGAGCCGTCGTTCTAAACGAGACGCCGGTAATCGAGTGATCCTCTTTCGGCGGCGATAATATCGCCCCCTGGAATCTGTATTCAGAGCAAAGAGCTCCGGGCGTTTGCTCTACCCGTCTATCATCCGGCTGCATCTCGATCGCGTGCCAGTTAAATGCAATCGCGATCTCACGGCAGAACACGCGCCGATTCTTCGCACCCTCTGCTATGACTTTGCAAACTGTGTTAACGAACAGCCGCTCGGGGATGAATTTAGAGTACGGGGGGCGAAGAGAAAAGAATTTTAGCAGCACAGCCCCGTGTTATCTCTGGTCCGAGACGCGAAGAGGCTTCTTCCGGATCCGTAGCCTCGCAAAGAGCCTGGTAATTACGTTATCGAATAGTCAGAAGGCAATCGAAAGAAAGTTGGAAGACGAAGGGCAAGACGCGTGATTAGACGAGACTGCTCGTAGGCCAAGGGAGGGAACCCTCGGCGCGATGCGCGGCGAAAACGAAGGAAAAGTAATAGAGCGATCCTCCTTTGTGGCTGATAGCGCCGCCGCGGGACTTCAATTCGAGGGAACTCGCCGGTTTCGTTTGCCTTGGCTCCCTCGTGATTCCCTAGATTACCGGGGTAACTCGATTTCGGCGATTCGGGGTCACGGGAACGCGACGGATCGTCCCAGATACCCGATTGCACGCCGTTCGACGCCTTCCATTTTCTTCGCGAAATTGCCGAGCAATTTTCGGGCTAACTGGCAACCAGGCGCCGCGTGAACCTTGTCAACCGCTAATTTCCAATCTACCACGCGTCTCGCGCCAGCTCTCCGCTGCTCCATACTCTGCGAGCGCGGGAACGAGGACATATAGTGCGGGAAAATCAGCTCCATCAAATTTTATTAGGAAGTACTTGGAAAGTGCTCGAACCTCTTCTCCCTATTGTCCCCTTCCGTCATCGTTGTTGCAAAGCTGCGATTCAACCCCTCGAACCACTCCGGGCTGCTCTCCACACCGGAACATCGTCCTCGTGTCTCGTAAAAAGCGCCAAAGGAAGCTCGGGTCTTCGCGTGCGAGAAATTTCATTTAGAAAAATCCCGCTTCCCTCGTCCGTCCGCGAATACGTTATTCGCTTCGCGTTAACGCGAGCCGACGACGACGACTCATTAAGCGAATTCATCCGTGCAAGAATACCGAAAGCTCTCTGCAGCGGAATATTCGTATTCTCGCTAACCGGAAGCGGAGGTGAAGTCGCGCTGTATCATATCGATCATCGCGACGATCTCGACACGACGTTTCTCTTTTCACCCGTTCCCGAGCTCGTTCAATCTCTCCGGAGAGCTCAGTCAGCGCGAAATCCCGGGAATTAATTACGGCTTTGAGATTTTTTCAAATTCACCGCGGTCTTGCCGCGCTTTTCCACGGTCAGCGAGTGTTTCCGCGAGAAATTAGTCGGAGAAATGAAATTGGCGTGCGATAAATCTGACGTCTGGATCGTTCCTTGTTATTTGCTCCGGCTAGGATCTTCGTCGATTTAAGGATTAACTTACGACCCTCCCGTTTCCGCGTGGCTCGCACCGAGTCAGCGTTTCTCCGATCGGGGCTTGCCCGAAGGTACAGCTCCCGTACCGCAGGATCTCGGAGGTTTTTAAGGGCTGGAACGCCCCTAATCGCGTTAGAACTCTTTTCGAGGCTGCCCTTTTTCGCCTCGAGATCATCGGGCAATTTTAATCCGCTTCTGTCGTTCGAAACAATCTCCGATGGTTACTCGAACAGGTATGATCGAAATTTATAGTAACCTATGAAAATGGTATGTTAGGCCAATGGCAAGTGACGATATTCTGTTTGTTCCTTCGTCGCAAATGTGCGCCTTTACGTTCGGTTTATTTACTCAGAATTTTTGGTATTTTTACGAAACACCGAAAAATCGCCCAATTATAGGACGGTGCTCGCGACGTAAAACAGGCTAACGAGCTAGCTTTCGTTCCCTTCTTATTACAGCGGCTCCTTTTTCAGCGAGTGCGCGATTCTCGACGCGCGAGTCGCTCCCTCGACACGCTCCCTCGCGCGATAGCCTTAAAGCAAATCACGTCGGGAAACCACGAAACCGGCTACGTTCTAACTATTTTTCATTGTCACGGCAGATGTTGGACGTGAAGGATACCGGCAGGGGCGTGTTCATGTGCAGCAGCCCGGGTCCTGATCCGTACACGTCGCAGGACCTCTACAATCCTGTCTACGAGGAGCTCAGTAACGGTGAGTAATACGATAAAGAATTAAGCAGAGTTACGAGCAGGGATATTCCACTTTCCACGCCACCCAATCACCGCTGAAGATCTTAACGTTCCGCGCATAAACGTCAATTACACGCTCTCCTTCTAGATGAGACTCAGCTATGAAGACTTTGAGGAGTAGCGCGTGGTCTTGGGCCTCGTTCCCGCTGAGGCAGAACGTAGGTAGGATCCGAGTGTCGCGATTAACCCGACGATGGAGAGAGCTAAATCTGGGTGTTCTTTGCTGTTGGCTAACATTGAACTGCGAGTTTCTTCCTCTTCCACTTCTTCTTCTTCTTTTTCTTCTTCTTTGCCCCCCGATTAATCGTACTGTTTACCTTGCCTAACTTCCTAGCTAAACCGCCATTACAAATATTGGCCACCGAGAACGAAAGTTCGCCCGCTGTTCTCCCAACTTCTCCAAAGTCTCGCGCGTTACCTCTCGCGGAAAGAATCCTCTCTCCCGAACGTAGCCCCGTCTCCCGCTTGCTCGTCGCCGCCATTTTTCTCTGCCCGCTTATCTGCCCAATTAATTCGACGAACCGTCCGCGATGAAGTTCGCCAGGGCGATACGTAATCTCCGTCGGGACGGAATCGGAAGCTGTTCATCTTCTTCCCCGTGTATCTCGTTCCTTTCACGTCGCCGGTATCTCTCGATAGACCCCCGTGGCCCACTGGTGTCGCGCAAGGGAACCGCGCCCACTCCTCCCTCCGCCGTCTGGCCCCTTCGATCGCAGCAGATAAGCGTGACACGACCTCTGACTTATATTTCCCATTAGTCGGCTAGCTAATTAGCATGGTGATGAGACTTTCGACGTTTGACGAGGACTCGGTAATCGAGTACGCTGCACGCTGCGCGACCCGACGCGCCTGCCCTCTCGCGGCCGAGCACGCGATTTAACCCGAGATCGTATTCCCGTGTCTCGCCGCGATAATTTGTCTCGGTTAACGTCACGCGGGGTGGTCTTATCCACGCGAATCCCTTTTCATTAAAAAGTTCCGTCGAATCTCATCGGAGACCTTGCGAGTTTTTACCGGGACCCGGGGGCACGCGCCAATCGATGAAGAGGAAACCGGGCCGTGCATCGTTGCGCTCCAAGGGAACGTATATTTCGCGGCTTCTAAATGATTTCGCCCCGGCAACGAATTCCACTCCGCTTCGCGGAATTCAGCTTTATCCCCGCGGGAAATCCTAGTTTACTCGCTATCGCTTAAACCGATGATAAATACGCGAAGATATAAAATAACGGAGATTAAAAGTGCAACCGCGGTAAGCCGAGAAGCATTCGCTTTTTTCCTCGTTTTCCATCCTTTCTCTCCCCCGATCTCGGTAAATAAGGACGTTGTGTCTGCAACCGAGGGCCCGGCGATACGGCAGCGAAGACTCGAGGGATTGTCAAACAGCGAACTGTAACGTCGATTAGATCGAGCCGATAAACTTCCGTTCGCCGTTCAGTCTCTTTCCGCTCGTGTTTTATCATCGCTCGATCTCCGCTCGCGTCTTACTTTTACGAGCGATTTTTCACGTCCGTTCGACACGGGAATCGGGAGCGCCACCCCCTAGCAGGGCTCGTTCGCCTTTTGTCGCTGGTAATTGTAAAGGGGCAAAGTTTGCCGAGCGTATCGCGCGTTCCCGCATTGTTTCCTATTTCTCCGCGAAACTCGACGAACACGGAACTCGGGGAGGACAGAGGGCTAGGAGGGAGAAGAATCGGAGAGGTAAAATTGGGCGAACGATATGTAATTGGGCCGATGGAGGAACAGAGCCGCGATTCGGCCTCGTAGCCGGTCGCTCGGTTAAAATGGCCGTTTTGAGTTTGAACCGCGAGCGTGACCGTGCAGTTTTCTCTTTTTTCAACCGCGAACGAACGTTATTCTCGTTAGCGTGGAATTGGTAGCAAGTGCGGGCAACAATGCGACCGGTTAACGATCGCGGTGGTAACGCGGCTCAATTATCGGGCGCAAAGGTTAAAACCGCGATCGAGCGAGGAAGGGAAGAAAGGAAAATGGCGTAACGGCGGCGACACAGCCGTCGGGGATAAAAAGGAAAGAGAGATATCGGTGATTGCTCGCGATTGAAAGGCCGGCAAAACGTGGATCGTGCGACACGCGTGCATCGGGCTTGCAGGATCGCGTTCGACGACTAATGACGACAGCACGCTTCGCTTTCCGCGGATACTTTCACTTAACAATCGCCCCGCAGCCCCCGCCATTTTCCCCGGCGAAGTTGCACTCCCATTTAAATAAAACAACGACCGCGATAACGACGGATCTCTCTAACTAATTAATTCCGACACTGATTCCCCAGCTGAAAATTGAAAGCACGTCCGCCGATTCGATTTGATTTCATCCACGCCGTGTGATCGTAACTTTGACACGCGAAAGAGCCTGTCTGTTAATTAATTAACGAACCGTCCAATTAATTATCGTATCCGTGCCGGCGCGCGCATCCGATGCCACCGGTACTTATAAATTATTCATCCGTTCCAGGGGACCATCCGGAAACGGACGAGGAGAGCGAGCTGAACGCGCGGAACCGGCTTCATCATCATCATCATCATCACCGCCACCATCACCGGGCCGCGTCGTCGAAACCGGCCAGCGAGGACGAGTTCGCCGAGGACGAGCTCTCGGTGGGCGAACCCTCCGAGGCGCGGATGCTCACGTCGACAGGCCCGACCTGGGGAACCTGTCCGGCTGGTGGCAGGCCACCGCGAGAGAGACGAGGCAGAAGCCCCAGGAGTCTCGACAGGCATAGAAGAGACAAGAACCACGATGTGGGAGAGTTCCACGAGGGGATGCTGCTGGACGCGTTACTGCAGCTCTATCCTAGCGTCGCGGGTGAGCCTCCGATCTCCAGTCGATCTTGACAACTCGAGCACTAGCTGTCACAAAGTCGGTCTAACGCGCGTGTGTCATTTTCAGGTGTAGCTGGCACCCGATCGAATAGCAATCAACGACAACAGTCCGTCCCGTCGGTGGCCCACAGGTTACCCTATTTCGTACCACCGATGCCAGCGACGCAGGCCCTCAGGGTCGAGGAGAACCCGTACGAGAGCGTACCGGTACTCGGCCCGCTCCACCTCTATTCCAGCCAAAGCAGAAGCAACAAGGAGAGGTCCCGCAAGTCGAACGACAAGTACAAGTACTCCGCGCAGTACGGGGCCGACTATTACGGACTGCAAAACCAGGACACCGCTCCGGTATACACGCAAGTAGGTGGTGAATACTCGGACACCTATTCGCAGCCGACTGACCGTCTCTATAACGAGGATAAATACACGCAGCCGGTGTACTACGCCCCACGCGACAGCGACCAGATATCATCCGGGAGACTGTACCAAGGCCAGCCGGACAGTAGTTTCGGCAGCGACAGCGGGTACAGCCATCACACTTCCGGCACCACTGGAACCACCGGCACGCGCAGCAGTAACTCGAGGACGAATCACAGGAAGGACAAGCATCGAAATTCGCATCATTCCCATCATTCCGCGGACTACATCGTGTCTTAATGCACGGTCACGTGGCACGTAAAGACAGCAAGGTCTTTCCGACAGGGAGTCTAGGACGAAGAAGAGCCGGAGGAAGCTGTAGACGGTAGTTCGATCGTCCGATCGAAGCAAGCTTGTAACACTTTTCTAAAAAGTAGCTATCCCGCGTTTCCTTTCGCGTATTTATTTTCTAAATCGTTTTCTTCTTTCTCCGTTTTCTGTTTCTTCTTTTGTTATTTTTACCACGGGCGAGAGTATTTTATTTTGTACGCGAGAAGCTCGCGGTTTACCTTTTATCGTTGCGCGTGATGTAGGATGTATTTTAATATTTTGAGATACGTATCATCGAGTACCGTAGGAAGTTGAGTATCGTAGAACGTACTTTCGCATCTCGGGTCACGTATCGTACCCACGTCGGGCCTCCGATTTCCGAGGCATCGTTTAAAATATGGTAGAACGACACCGAGCGGAGGGTGTTGGCAGAGCAATAGCGAGAGACTATATAAACGCGACGATCATATTATAGGAAACAGAACACTCACGGAAACAGTGATCTCTTAGTGATTTAGCAAGACTATTTAACAAATTATTTGTAATCTAACGAGACTCAGGCTGGTACCAAAGGACGCTACTAAGTAACTTCGACTTTTTAGCCTTCTAGTTTGTAATTTATACGAAAGTAGAGCTACTCGCGAGATGATTTTTAACACTGACGAGTTTCGTGCGAGACGTGCGACTACCACATTTTTTCCGGATGGGACACGGTTCCACGGATCAGAATCCAAAGACGACGAGGGAGAGGTGGTACGAATCACTGTCGAACGATCCTAAATATTTCCGCAAAGACTGCCCCCGATTAGGGGGATATCAGCCGCAACTGGTTTCATACAAAAACTTTGATACGACGCGTTAGAAGTAATTTATCCCGCGATCGCGCGCACGTTCCATACACGTCATCGGATTGTAAAATAGCACCTAAACGAACACCTACGAACACGCACTTAGAGGAAAGAGACTCGCAAATGAGAATCGTAGCCACACACACACACACACATACACACACACACGCACACCGGTAGTTTCACGTCGGAGTAACGTTAAACGTTTAAGCATACGGTTAATCGAGTTTCAATTTTTCTTCGTCAATTACCGAGCTACGATTATTGTCGTACCCGAGGACTATGAGCGTAACACGCATGAGAACAGGCTTTCGAACGCGAACGCTCAAAGGGAGCACCTATTTTTGCAATCTCGTACGAGGTCGCGGCGCGTCTCAATCAGAAAAACCATTGGGAAGAAAATGAAAGAAAGGGAAGCTTTCGCGAAAGCCTTCTGCAAAGAGAATACATAGCGTTCCTTCTGCGAGCCCATTCTCTAGCTCGTCCTACATTCTCAAAGCCTGCCCGCGACGAGAGCGTAACCTGGAAGCCCAGTAGACAACCAGGGTTCGTCGCGTGCCGCGATGTTTCCTTTTCCGCGACGAATCGAGCCGCGATAGCCTGCCGTCTTTCGCATAAGCGCGAAACGATTCTTTCCACGAAACCCCGAAATCACATTTCAGGAAGCTCGTTCGCAGAAGGAAGGAGGGAATACGCACCGAGCAACGTTCATGATATTCCCCTTGGATTTAGCCTTTTCGCTGGTTCTTCGTCGCGCGTAAACGAGAACTACCCCCTTTAATTAGATTATTAGTTGTTAACGCTCACGCGTGTTCCCTCGACTATACACGCGTGTCAGAATAGACTCGTAACTGCCGGTAGTCGCACGATTTTCCGCTCGCGAGGCGCCTCGATCACGCTGCCAGAGAGACAGACCAAGGTGAGAAGGATAACCAAGGGACAGTGTTCTTACTAGGCTGTACAAGCACACGCTGGTACATATGCATATAAATATATATAAATATATAGATATATATACAGAAGCAAACATAAGTATACATACTGTAGGTGTAAGAGAAACGGATAACTATTCGCGAATGACCCCGTGTAAATACTATTATATACGCGAGAGGCGGAGGGAGGGTGAAGCAAAGAAAAGAGCGTCCGGATCACTTGGATGTAGCATAGCTGTATCATATCGTTGTCGAACTTTCTCGCGTGTGCATGCGTGTGTGAGGTGTATGATGTACGTGTGCCCGTGCGACGAGCAAAAGACAGCCGAGGAGAAGAAAGATCAGAGAGAATCGATTTAATATATAAAGTATATAATTTTTAAATTATTTATAACGAGCAGAGCGTGGGTATACCGTCGACGACGACTTACGCGAGTACGAGGTGACGTACGAGTGAGGCTAGCGAGTGCGAGAGCGAGAGAGACAGAGAGCGAGATGAAACGTAGGCGAAAGGATTCTTCCGGATTCCCGGCCACCTCCCTTCCGCCTCTTGCTACTGTACACTCTTTAGATGCATGTAGAGCGAATACCTCACGACAAAAAAAAATGGAAAAAAAAGAAAAGATCACTCTGTTGTAAATATAATTTTATATGTACGAGCCGAGAAATGAGGTGTGTGCGTAAGTGACTTAGCGGGCGCGCTATTGAACACGTTCGCCCGTGAAACCACCCCGCCCTCTCGACCATCCGCGAAATCTATTTTTCCCTTCTCTCCGTTCTGCGACCGATCGTATAATCGCGCAGCACCGTTCCTCGAGCTGACCAGCCCCTTCGTGCTTCCCCCGTTTCTTCCTGCATTAATCTCAATTTGGATCCGGCGTAACAACAGCGAGAAATTTAAAATTCTAGTGGCCCGATGCTCCGCGGTATCCGGCCGTCCCTCTTTCCCACGCGATGTCAAAACCGCGAAAAACGCGGAACGGTATCGATCCGCGAGCCGTGCCGGGGGTACGAGAGAGGGAACGGGTTCACGGGCGAAAATAAAGGTGAACTGTAGGTGGTATTACACGTACTTATCGCGGGGAACGAAAGCGCACGACCAGTCGCGTATGATCAAAGATGCGTACAATCAAAGAGTGCACGAGGAGAGGGGCAGAGACAGCGGCGGAGAGGAAAGGGGAGAGAATGAGAGAAAGAGAGAGAGGGGAAGAGAGGGCGAGAAAGAAATGGCGAAACGGCGAGTCGCGTTCGATCGGTTCGCGGCGTGGAAACTCGCGTGAAAACAGAGGGTGAACACGCACCACGCAACTAGAAGAGGGACAAACGCTTTTTGTACGATTTTACGTCCATGTTAGTCAAACGTTTTTCAAGACCGTTTTTTATATATACAGTATATAGGTATATATACACGCGCGTGTACAGTAGGTACGACGGAACCTAATTTATTATCATTGTTCTTATTTAACGTGACGGGGGATGTCGTTGTATCCCCTCGGCAGCCTGCAATTCTATATTCGCTACCAAGTACTTTGTCGCAGTCGAAAGCGTTGTTATATTCGCATTATCGAGGATCGTGTATAATGTATCGATTATTATTATTTTTATTATTATTATTATATTATTATTATATTATTATTACCGCTGTTGTAAATCGCGACGACGAGAATGTGGCCACCGGGAGAGCTTGATTTCGCCCTTCGTTTTTCGTTCCTTCCGAATCTCCGTTGGCCGGCCAGCTATGTAATACGCGTGGACGATGGATCGTCGGGGTCACGTGACGTTCGAGATCGCAGAAGGGAGCGCAACGAAAGAACGATCGGGAGATCTTCTTTCCCCATTTCTAACGCGTATACGAGTCGCGAGATTATTAATTTATTGTTCCGTTCGAACGGGAGAGCGGGGGTGTCACGTTCCTCCCCTTCAGTCTTGCTAATTTTAGCTGCGATCTAGCGATATAGGCAGAACAGAAGACAGTGGAAAAAGAAAAAAAAAAAAAAGTCATAGGCACTAGAGTACCTCGAAAGATAACAAGTAGCACTCTTGAAAGTTAGCTTGCACGGACGTTCTCCTTTTCCATCGCGCCGCCTTGCAATTTAACGAAGGGTGGGGGGTCGAGGAGGATCGGGGGTGAATCGGCGGGTGAATAGAAAAGGGCGAGAGAGATGGATCGTCCGAAGGGATGAGACACACGGATGCCGGTGGATCGTGACTTGATCGTGCAAAAGAGCACGCGAAGATCGGCCCGATCGATGGGGAGAACACCAGCTCGCAGAACAGGGTAACTAGCTCTAACATCTATCTCTTACATCACTTAAGAAAGAAAAATGGAAAAAAAAAAAAACAAAAATAAAACTCTATCACACTCGTTCACCTTATGGTATCACAGGTTCACTCTAATCACGAATGTCGGCCAAGGCTAACTCGAAACACTATCACACCTTCGTACTAATAAACGATTTACTATTCAATTTCACACGATGTCTACGTGATTTCAACCCCATCCCGCAGGTCGAGCGAGATATCGCGTCGAATGAATTTCACCGAGCAACGCACCCCGTTATAAGAAACAACGGGCGCAGGCTGGTATTTAAATATTCATCGATCGGTGGGAACAAACGCGCGTAAGTAATCTATAACAACGCTGAATGACGGAGATAACTCGATCGTAAGTCCAATTTTGCGCGCATGTTTTCCATTAAGCATGCATCGGTTAGCACGAATGTAAATTTCATTGGGAAATCATTTGTCACGGTATAAACTTTTCATCATTCCAAATGCATTTACCATACAAAATTTCGCGTACGCCGGAGAGCCGCGCGACCGGAAATCCAATCAAAATTACATTGTTATCGGCTTTGAGATCGAGTTTCGAAATCGGCGAATGCTAGTGCGAAAATACCGCGCGTAAGCCCGATGCCGTGCGATTTTTCACCGCAGAAAGCGACGAAAATTCACGGGGAATCTAATTACGCATTCCTAGGGCGCGTTGGGATTAAACTGGCATCGATCACGATATTCGAGACTCCGCCATTCGACGTGGTCGAATCGAAAGGCTCGCGACGCGAGAGTGGAATCGTCGACGAGGGAAGAAGACAGGTGGCCGACGAGAATAAAGCTAATTAGAGTTACAGATGCACCCTAATTGCGAGCACTCGTCGGGGTGCGCGCGATCGCGAGAAATTGAACGTTA